GGGTCGCGGCAGGCGCGGGCTCCTGAGGCGATGCGGCGAGGACTCCCGGGAGGCTCACGTGCAGGGTCGGGGCAGGGCGGGAAGTCGGCGGACTCCTCGCCCCGGCACTGGGGCAGCCTTGGGTTTCAGAAGCTTAGCTGGCCCGCCTCAGCTACTCTCCACCTGTGGGACCCCCCCTCCCCAGCCCCCATCTCTAACCGCTTCTTTGGGGTAGTCGGGTGCCGCCGCTTCCCGGCCCTAGGGTGCCCGGCAGACAGCGGGCGCTTCGGGGAGCTGCCGGAGGTGCTGGGCCCGGGCCGGGGAGGGCAGAGGAGGGGGCAGTCGCTGGGGCTGGGGCTGAGGAATTAGCCGCACACCTTCAGCTGCCAAAGAGAAGGATCTAGAAGGGGAAAGAGTTTTCCTCTGGAAGAAATGTGAAGCATTATCAGAGACAAAGTGTTTATGCTTAACTGGGAAATCTATGGCATGCACAAATGTATGCCAGTCTTATTTTTAATGATTTTACGTTCCCACTGAATATTTGTGGTAGGCGTGAATAATTATCTCCCCTACGGTTTTATTCTCCTTATCCTATGGAAAATGCTGTTCACCCTGCCACCCAGCCTCTGGCTTTTCCGTTAATGTTCCTGGTCCTCAGATAGATGAGCTCTTTATTCATAAATTCAGAGACACAAAGCAGGGAGAACACTCGTAGAAACCCCTATTTTCCAGCGGGAGCACACAGCTAGTTGAGTCTATATGGTGCTAGTTTTACCTACAATCCTGATTATATTCTTTTTTAAAGGTGCTTTAAATCTTTTCAATTTTCGGGACACTTTTTGTTATTCATTGGAGGCCCAAAACTTATTTAAAAAAAAAAAAACCTGATATAAAACGCTGCAGTTTTTTCCTGCCAAAGCTGTAAACAGAATTCAATCTTTTGTTTATAGGGCCTGGGCACCAGTGGCTTGTTATCATTTCTCACTTTTTCAGAGAATGTGACAAAGTGTGATGGACAAGCTCTGCTAGAAAGGATTTTGCTGGGTTATATGCGTTTCTGGCTTTGACAAAGTATGCAAAGAGAGGTTTCCAAAGATTGGAAAATGGGCAGGCACTGCAGATGCCACAGGACTGCGGGATAACCTCAGACAAGCATCTGTGGAGCTGTTCTTAATAATGTTGCTTCTGGAATGCTGCAGGAAGGGGGAACCTGCTGTTCAATTTAAAAGAGGCTGCAGCAGCAGCAAGCCAGGGACCGCTGCTGCCTTCTCTCTGCAGATGAGAAATACAGCATTCACTTCCCAACTCTACCAGTCATCAGCACCCTGTGCTCATGGGGGAATCAGAGAGGAGAGGGTGTGTGTGTGCACATGAATATTTATGGTGGAAATTAAAAAAAAAAAAAAAGACAGGCAAAAATGCAAAATCATGATAGAATATGTAATATTCCAGTAAATTAGAAGTCTCAATGGTCAAACACTTCAGTAAAACTGCTTCCCATAGAGTAAATTCATTTTAAAACAAGGTACACATTTATGTGGGTAGGAAGAAAGAATGGTCTAGTGATGAAATGTGTTTATTAAGGATTCATTAGCATCTAATAGTCTTCCATTTCTTATAATTATTTCGGTTAAGTTGCTACAATCTATGGTTTTGAAAAGTAGGTATCCCCTAAAATTACATTTCTGTCACATAGCCTGTTTTACCCAAATAAATACTTTGAAACTTTTTCATTAACTTGAGTTGCTAAAAACTGTATGCCCCAGAGTTACTTTGTTATAATAAAGTTAATTACTCTGATTCTTCATACTTAATAACTAGTATTTTATTTTGATAATTCATGTA